CATTAGATAAAGAGATTAAATTCTGAGCGGATCAGCCGATATTTAATATAAATCGGATTTGACTAATTTTTTCACATGTGACACTCTTAAGTATTTTCTCTTAATAAATCACGTTGATTATAATTAAGGTTAGTGGGGTTATGGATTATGTTGGGGTTTTTTTTTTTTTTTTTCTTTTTTTTCCCAATTATTAGAATTTTAATTATATTTTTATTTAAACTATCCACGTGTCAATCATCCTATAACATCCGATTTTCCTATTAAAACAGGCCATCCGGTCTAAATTTGCACCCTTAGATAAAATATTGAATTGCAAAACGAAAAAAGTTGTACATTAAGTACTAAATTATTTTATATTAGCACAATAAAAAAACTACGGATCTCGACTCCCCTCTTGTCCAAGAACGAATAAATGCAGAGGGGTCGCATGATTGTCCATCTCTCCTACATGATGTATCCTGGACGTCATCAAATCCATTTATTCGCCGGGGAACATCAACATCAACATCATTATATTCCGGCAATATATGGAAGTAACGGGCATGTGACACGATCCTCTTATACACCTTCGGTCCAATATGTGGCATAAGGTACCCCCTTGAAGGCCGGAAAACATCATACAAATAATACTGTAAAATTTCGTTCCAGTACGCTTGCGTGTATAGAATATCGTAAAAGTTTGGTCAAATGTGTACATAACTCACCCTAAGTGTTCATATGGATAATATCGTAAAATTCCAGTTGCATGCGTTGATGTATATAGGATGCCATCGTTCGAAATCACTATTATGGATTACGTGGAATGTAACATTCCATTAATCCTCTAACACGGACCATAGCATCCTAGATGAAGATAAATGTGATGCCCAGATAATGTGGGTATTAGACATCGCCGATGTGCCTTGCGGGTTATTGCACTCACACGGAGGTCCCAACTGAATAAGACCAACTGGAATAGTCTGTAGGAATCCAAACTGCCGATACATACGATCCGCCATGTAAGGTAAAGGCTCGGCTACGGCCATGTACTGGATCGAGCCATGAAACTATGGTCATCGGCACGCAGATATGCATATCTCTCCCATACGGCGTCAAAGACTTACAAAATTACATTTATATTAATTATAAAAATGTTTAATACATTACAAAAACGTGCAATATTTGCACCATCAAGACCTCCTTTTAAATCCAACTCCTGAGTTTGTCGGAAAGTATCTGGCGCCGGTATTTAGCCGGCGAAGACGACCTAATCGACCGGGAACATATAAAGACAAGAGTGAAAGAGAGAATTCGGAAAAAAAGAATGTATTATAGACTATGCTGCACGGACACTTCTAGAAGGTGAAGAGTCCCCGTATCCGATACCTGGACACTCAGACACTCCCGGACACTTCTCGGACACCCGTGTCGGGCCGTGTCGTAATTTCGCTAAAAGTAGGACACCCGTATCGGGCAGTGTCCACAATTTTAAAAAAGTTGGGACACTTCTCTTACGTTGTAAAGGAGAGCTCTAATAAAAAAAAATGCGCATTTTTTTTTCTCTATAATACACATTTCCTTTGTTTTCTTTGTGAGTCCACCAAAAACTCCAAAAGTCTAGCATGCGACAGCGATCAAGAACACGAGCAACAAGGGCGAGTGGTTCTCTTATGCGATGACGACTTATACATAATTTTTTACAATTTATAAATGTACCCCTATATTTTTATTATTTATAAATATACCCCTACATTTTTTATATTTACACGTATCCCCCACGTGTCCGTATCCTATTTTTTTGGAAATGCCGTATCACCGTGTCCGTATCCACGTATCACCGTGTCCACGTATCCGTGTCCGTGCACCATAGATTATAGATGTTAAATTATTGTGATTGTGTTTTTGATAGGGTTTGGTACATTCGTTTACATAGAAAATTTATAATTACACATTTCCTCATTTAGAATCTTTTTATTGGTCCAATTACATTGATTTCTCAATTACTTATCCTTTTTTTTTAGGAAAAATTAACTTTATTTAGGCATACCTTGCCAAATCTGAAGGAAGATTATAACCTTCGTTACAAGAGTCACCATAATTTTTAGCTATAAGATGAGCTAAAATATTTCCCGAACGTTTAATAAAATTAAAGACACAACTTTCAAAAAATTTAGCCACACACCAGCAATCTTCGGCATAAGCGCCAAACGAACATGATTGAGCATCCTCTCCTCGAAGAGCTTCGACAACTTTGAGGCAATCTCCTTCCAGAATAATTGATGGCCAACTTTCCTCTTTGGCTCTAGTCAATGCGAATAGTGCAGCATGAGCTTCACAATCGACTGCCCTTAATTGGTCGGCCTCTAAAGCTTCTAGCTGCCCAAAAGATACAGTGACCCTGCCAATCTCGAGCTATCACAACCACCGAATAATGGTATGTACCAGCTGGAAGAGCTGCATCAAAATTCAGTTTAATTATTCCTTCTCGAGGCGGTTTCCACTCCGTTGGATGAGCGCGTTGCTGTATGGGAGTACAAGGAAGTTGTGCTTGTTGATACAAATTGAGAAAAGTCAGACCCCAGCTAATAAACTCGTCCGTCTCCATCCCTTGCTCTCCATGCATCTCTCGATTTCTTGACTCCCAAGCTTTCCACACTACGACGACCGCCAAGAGAAAGGAATCCTCTGTTAACTGTTGCTGCCATTGAATTATCCAATCCCACATAGACACTGGTTTTGGCTGCCCTATAATGCGAAAAGGGTGTGACTTCCATATTTTTTCCATTCCTCGACAACGGAGAAAGACGTGCATAGGTGTCTCCCACTCTCTCCCGCAATGGTTGCACATTGGAGAGGTGGCAATCTTTCTTCTAAACAGCTCGGCTTGTGTGGGGAGTATATCAGAACAGGCCCTCCAAAGAAACATACGAATTTTCGGGGGAAGTGCCAAATGCCATATGTTCCTCCATCTTCTGCTTGATAATCCACTCGACGACTCATTCGCTAGACCCCTATTAGCATGATAGCTGTGTGTTGTTACTAAGGCGAGTTGATAACACGACTTAACCGTAAATTTTCCGTCCTTCGTGTAGTGTCAAATCCATTTGTCCGATGCATATGAACTTCCAATCGGTATAGCCAGAATACGTTCTCGATCCACTGGCCAAAACTGCTCATTAATAATCGAGATATCCCACGACTTTGAAGTCTGGTCAATTAAATCTTCGACTCTATCTGGGAAACACGAATGCAGAGGTCTTCGAGTAATAACTTTGAAATTTCCATCGTCACCGAGCCATGGGTCCGCCCAGATAGATGTGCTTGAGCCATCACCAATTCTCTTTCTTAAACCTTTGAGCAGATGAGACCGTGCCTTAACTAAACTCCGCCAAGTCGCTGAAGGACGCGAACCTAATTCAGCCGTGAGAACTTCACCATTGGAGAAATAACGAGCTTTCAGAATTTTGGATAATAGAAGGTCAGGGTAATTTAAAATTCTCCAGGTTTGTTTGGCTAATAATGCTATATTGAAACTACGCAAATCCCGAAATCCAAGACCACCATCAGCTTTCGACATGCACATTCTATTCCACGCTAACCACGGCATCTTCATGTCATTTCCATTTCCCCACCAAAACCTTCGGATAGCCGATTCCAGATCCTTAATGAGACCCACCGGTAACATAAAGGAACTCATCATATATGACGGAATTGCTTGCAAAACAACCTTAATAAGAACCTCTTTTCCGGAATTTGAGAGTTGTTTCTCGCCCCATCCTTTAATACGTGCCCAAATACGATCTCGAAGAAAACTAAAAATTTCTTTTCTTGTTCTTCCCATTGAGACAGGCATACCTAAGTATCTTTCATGTCGATCCACCACTTGGAAACCCAAAATATTGCAAATACTCTCCTTCAAAGCCGCGGAAGTTGTTGGACAAAAACTCACATTAGTCTTTTCAAAATTAATCTCCTGTCTCGAAATCCTTGCGTATTGATCAAGAATGTTTTTCATAGTAATCGCATCGGCTTCAGAAGCTTTACAAAACAGAAGAGTGTCGTCCGCGAAGCACAAATTGGAAATTGTGGGAGCTGATGGAGCAATTTTAATTCCATGAAAGTTACCTTCATTGACTGCCTTCTGAACCATAGTAATTAAAGCTTCTACACAACATATAAACATATATGGGGACAAAGGGTCGCCTTGCCGACTACCTCTAGATGGACGAAGCGAGCCAAATTGTGAACCATTAAAGAGAAATGAGTACGAGACAGAAGCGATACACAACATAATAAGATCAACAAACCCAGGCAAAGAACCCAAACGACAAAGAATTTTTCTCAAAAATAACCATTCAATCCGATCGTATGCTTTACTAATGTCTAACTTGACTGCCATATAATTATTTCGATTACTAGAGTTGGACTTAATGAAGTGATTGATCTCGTAAGCAACGAGAACATTATCGGTGATAAGACGTTTGGGAACAAAAGCAGATTGGGTAGGTGAAATAATATCACAAAGAATCGGTTTGAGACGATTAGCAATAGCCTTTGATCCGAATTTATAAATCACATTGCATAGACTGATAGGTCTATACTCTGTCATTTTTTCCGGTTTTTTCACCTTAGGGATAAGAACAATGTAGGTGAAATTAAGGGCAGAAGGGAGTCTCTTATTATTAAGAAATTCTAACACGCAAGAAATAACATTAGACCCTAAGATATGCCAATATTTAGTATAAAAGATAACAGGAAGGCCATCCGGGCCAGGAGATTTTAAAGGGGCCATTTGAGAAATAGCACGGGTTACCTCATCAGCAGTGAAAGGCATGGATAACATCTGATTCGCTTCGCTCGTAACTCTCGGCTCAAAATGCTCCAAAACCTCATCAATCTCCCTCTCACTCGGATTGGTAGACTTGAAAATGTGAGCAAAGTATTCAGCAATAATTTTTTCGATGTCTTCCTCATTCACCTTCCAGTTCCCATTTATATCTTTTAATCGATCGACTCTGTTAACACGATTACGAGAGGAAGCCTTTGCATGAAAAAACTTTGTATTTCGGTCTCCTTCTTTCATCCATTGAACTTTGCTCCTTTGACGCCAATAAATATCGTTTTCCTCATATAACTGCTCCAAGTTTTCCCTAACTGCCCTCAATTCAGCCCGAACAACCTCAGTTTGTATTTCACTGTTCAAGTAATGGATTTTCTTATGTAAAGTCTCAATCTGTCTTTGAGGTTGCTGAAGAGTGGACTTACTCCACTTAGTGAGGGCTATTCTGCATTCATTCCTCTTCCAAATGAGGTCCTCCATAGGCTCGGATGTGACGTTCTCTCCCCACGTCTGTCGGATAATATCCTCACACTCACCCCGTCCAATCCACATTGCTTCAAATCTAAATGGTCTACAGAGTTTGCGTTTATTAACTCTCGGTTCTCTTTGTAGTGCAACCATTATAGGGATATGATCGGACCCAGGGAATGGTAAGTGAAGTGCCTTTGCATCCGGGAAAATAGAAATCCACTCATAGTTAGCACAAGCACGATCCAGCCGACTTCTGATGGTGTTAGGATGCTCTCGCTTATTAGTCCACGTAAATGGATAACCCTCGTACCCAATATCCGATAAGTTGCAAACATCAAGGATCTCACGGAAAGCCTCTATCTGATAGGGCAGTCGCGCAAGTCCCCCTTCCTTCTCCGAGTTGCTTAATATCTCGTTAAAGTCACCACCTATCATCCACGGAAAACTCCTGTGATTATGGAGAGTTCTCAACAGATCCCAAGATTTCGGTTTGTTCTCATGCTCCGGGTAGCCATAAAACCATGTGCACCTCCAAATCAAATTATCGTGTTGCGAGTGGACCTCAACATCAATATGATGGGAAGAAAAACTAATAAGGTCCACATGTATTTTTTTTTTCCAGAAAAATGCTAGCCCGCCGGATTTGCCAACCTTGTCCACTGCCAAGCCAAAAAGATTCCATCGTCTCTTTAATTTTTCTATCAGAACTTGTGTTGCTTTCGTTTCGGATAGGAACACTAAGCTGGGGTTGAACCTTCGGAGTAAATCACCGATCACATGAATCGTCAAGGGGCCCCCAAGCCCTTGACAATTCCAGAAAATACAGCTCATAGTTCTCGAGAGGGTAATTCCTTCCTCCTCCGTTCGTAACCTGAAAGTTGTTTCGAGACCATTTGTGAGTCCCTTCCCAATCAGAGAGAGAGAGAGAGAGAGATTGATGAGATCCGAAGCCACCGACGCGAGAGTAAACAAGCAGAAGAATACTCATAATGAAGATCTGAAAGTATGGGCGGCAAACAAAATATTAAAAAGATAACCCGAGAAAACTCAATAAAACCCTAATAATCTAATAAAATACGACAAGAAGAACGTCAAACAAAAGGTAGAAAACACACGATCAGATTTGCAGGAAATAATTAAGAAAACCAAAATCAAAAGATGTTAAGTGTCATGAGAATTAACACGATTCCGAAACTGGTGAATAACCCTGAATTCGAAAGCTGTAAACCCGCCTCTCATACAGAGAGAAAACCCGCCTCTCTGATATGGTTTAATTTGGGTAGGGAGAATAATAAGCAAGAAGAAGAGATTTTAAGAAACGTAGAGAAGAATCAGAAAGAATTAGATAGAAGAAATGAATTCAAATAATACCCCTCCCTATTCTTCCCATTTACTCTATATTTATAATGCTAATAGTAATTAATTAAATTATGCCACTAAACTAATCTAACCAACCCACTAAGCACAATTGAACGTGCAATTCTAAGTAGTTAGCTATTTCCATGCAACTGAATATTGACTTATTCTACTACTTATGCCACTAACACACTAACTCTACTAGTCATTCCACTAATACCACTAATTAGTAGGTTTAAGCACGTATCATTCCCACCCGCTCGAAATATCCTTGTCCTCAAGGATAAAATCTTGATGTATGTACGGGATCGTTTTGAGTGCTTGGAGGGTCGGTTGACTGGAAATCTTCCACGTGCACATCCTCGATCATATAGAATTGAGGTCGTTGGCAACGATGACCTGGTTTGAATTTTTCGTCACAATAGTAGCACATGCCTTTTTGTCTTCGTTCACGAGCTTCTTGGCCAGTTATTTTTGTAAATGCGGGCGGCAAAATATTTGGATTATTAGTAGCTTGCGCAGTGCTTGAAATGGTGGGTGGAGGGCCTAGAATACCGGACGTGGAAGCAGTTGTGCCTCTCAAGTTTGTTGGTGTAGATTGAGAGTAGAAGGGTTGTGGGTTTTGTTGTAGCATGTTTCTTTCCTCTACAAGTCGTGCCACGCCTATAGCATCTATTAGAGAATTAGGCTGTTTTATTTTCACATCCAGACGAATCTCATCAGAAAGTCCTGCAATAAAACAACCGATTAAAAAGTTTTCCGGAAGGCCGTTCACTTGGTCAGATAATTTTTCGAAAGCCTCCTGGTACACAGCCACAGTTGTGGTTTGTTTGAGACGGGTGAGAGATTCAGAAGGATTTTCATAATCAGTCGGTCCAAATCGGCTTAAAAGAGCCTTTGAAAACTCGTCCCACGACAAGGGTCCTCGGAATTTTGTTAACCACCGGTGCCACTGCAAGGCGATCCCCTCAAGATGAAAGGAAGCGAGTTGAACATGTTGCATCGCTGGGATATTTTGAAATTCAAAATACTGCTCCGCCTTGTATATCCACCCCATTGGATCATCGCCGGTAAACTTTGGAAATTGCAACTTGAGGTTTGTGTTTGGAAGAAGAGTTGGAGGTGTGCGAGTTGTCGCTATGTTTGTATTTGGCTTGACGGTTTGTGATGTTTCTCCCGCAGCAAAGGGGTTGACATCATTTTCGGGAACCTTATGTTGTGCAGAAGAAGCCCGTAGAGCTTGAAGCTCTTTGAGGACAATTTGGAGGGTATTGTGTATTTGATCGAAATTGGATTCATGTTTTGCAAGGATTTCGAAAACCTCGGTACGAAACTCGGCATTGGATTTATTTCGAGTTTCCATGAAACGTGGCTTTGATACCACTGATATGGTTTAATTTGGGTAGGGAGAATAATAAGCAAGAAGAAGAGATTTTAAGAAACGTAGAGAAGAATCAGAAAGAATTAGATAGAAGAAATGAATTCAAATAATACCCCTCCCTATTCTTCCCATTTACTCTATATTTATAATGCTAATAGTAATTAATTAAATTATGCCACTAAACTAATCTAACCAACCCACTAAGCACAATTGAACGTGCAATTCTAAGTAGTTAGCTATTTCCATGCAACTGAATATTGACTTATTCTACTACTTATGCCACTAACACACTAACTCTACTAGTCATTCCACTAATACCACTAATTAGTAGGTTTAAGCACGTATCACTCTCATACAGAGAGAAAACCCTACATACTATCAAGGGTAATTACTTATCCTAATTTACATATTTTCCTTATCGATTTAACGATAATATCTTCAAATCTTCTTCTTCCAACAACTCTCCTTCAGCTTGCTACACACCCCAATCTACCGTGTCTATAATTAGACATTTCCTAATTTACCCTTTTGCCTTTAATAAAAGCCCTTACATCAATATCCCATTTTTCTGTTAATTAGAAAACCAAAATAGATTCTTTCAAACTTATGTTTTAAATTCTACATGACATATTTTAAATTCTATATTAATTATTTTTTTAAATCATATATCCAACTTTATAATATTTTATATTTTTTTCAATAAATTTATGTGCAATTAGTTGTACTTTTAGCCTTTTATTTTTAAATAAAAAGTATACATGTATATATACTATAAAAAATGAATTAAAAAAATTACAAATGAAAATTTAAAATAGGGTTTACTTGGGATGAGCCTTCACTAGCTTACATAATGTAGGACAAGCCCAATCATTTTTTATATTTATGAGTAATTTCCATTAGTTGAAAGTTTCATTTGATATAAACTCAAATAATTAGCACACACCATTTTTACTCTTTCAAACTCTAATTAATGTTTGTTTTATGGTATTTTATTTTAATTATTATTATTTTTATTATTTTTTTACGGCGGTAGCCTGGGAAGTCGGAGCCCTGGTTAGTTGACTCAACATTAATTAACTTCAACATTAGTTGACAATCCATTTTTTTTTCTGGCGGCGTGTGTTCGAAACTCCAGATAGCTGACTCAACATTATTTAACTTCAACATTAGTTGACAATCCATTTTTTTATTACTTTTTTTTTTCTTTTTCTAGCGGCGGGTAGTCGGAGCTTCGGTTAACTGAATCAACAGTAGTTAACTTCAATATTAGTTTTCATTTGACATTATCATTTTTTTCCGGTGGTGGGTTGTCGGAGCTCTGGTTAGCTGACTCAACGTTAGTTAACTTCAACATTAATTGACATATCATTTTTTTACTTGTTCTTTTATCTTTTTAATTTTATTTCCAGCGGCGGGTTGTCAGAGCTCTGATTATTTGACATGCATTAGCTGACAACGTATTAGCTGACGTCCAATTTTTTTTCTTTTAACTTTTTTTTCCCGTCAACGGGACGTCGAAGTTCTGATTAGCTGACTATGAATTAGTTCTTTGCATTAGCTAACATCCGACCATTTTTTTTAATTTTTCCTTTTAACTCTGCGGCGCGGGTATTTCGGATTCCAATTAGCTGACTAAGCATTCGCTGACCCGACAGTTTTAGTGTTGAAGTCAGCTAATCGTTGCTCCGACGATTTGCCATCAGAGGAAAAAAATGTTGAATCTCAACTAATGTTTAAGTTAATTAATATTGAGTGAGCTAACTAACCGAAGATCCGACGACCCTCCACTGGAAAAAAAAATGTCTACTAATGTTGAAGTTAAGTGAAGTTGAAGTTAACTAATGTTGAGTCACCTAACAGAAGCTCCAACGGCCCACCACCGGAAAAAAAATTATCAGAAAGAAAAATGAAAAAAGAAAAAAAATTCGAATGTCAAATGTCAACTAATGTGAAAGTTGATTAATGTAAAGTCAGCTAACCGGAGCTACGATGACCAGCCGTTGGGGAAAAAAAATATAGTTTAATTTTTTTTAAAAATAAAATAAAATAAATCTGACCGGGTCAGACCGAACTTGGTCGGGTCAGACTGGACTGTACCAGGTTGGACCAGCCTGGTGGGTGGGTGACATGGGATGAAGTGGGTGGGCTTATCTAAAATAGAAATATGTAGTGCTGCTATATTGGAAATTCATGTTTTCTTGGTTTTATTTGAAATGAAAGTTAAATAGTAAGTTGATTTATACTGAAAGTTCATTCCTTGGGCCTAACACAAATTCAACCATCAAAATAAGGACTTGTTGAGGGTTGAATGACTTATCCAATCAAATATAAAACCCAAAAAAAAGAAAAAAGGTCTATTAGGGAGACAACCCTCATTTTTTTTTCTAATAGAACTTGACCCACTTTATTATTTGCTTTTGAAAGACGACCCTAACTTCTCATTACTTCATTTTGCCCTTATACTATTTCAATTCTCTTGACCCTCTTACCGAGACACAACCCCGGGTCGATCGGGTCCGGGTCTGGGTCAAAACTGAATTATTTTATTTTTTATTTTTTTAATAATATATTAAAAACAAAAAAAGCAAATTAAAACTTGAAATCACTTGAGCATAACTTTATATTAAAAAATACAATATATATATATATATATATATATATATATATATATATATATATATATATATATATATATATATATATATATATATATATATATATATATATATATATATATATATATATATATATATATATATATATATATATATATATATATATATATATATATATACTATATAAATTTAAATCCTTGAATAAATCTTACCGATTGGAAGGACTTGAGCTTAACCGATTCAAATCTTACGATTAAAAGATTAATCCTCACAATTTTTACGAATTATATTTTACTACTTTTATGATAAAATTCAATTAAAAAGATACTATACTTTAATTATAAATAGTCAATTCGATTAATATGTTCTTGTCAATACTATATCCCTTTAAATTATTATCAAACCAATTATTAAAAGAAAATTCACATCATAATATTCTGATTCTACTATTTTTTAAAGCAATGTGGATCTTTATTACG